GGGAGTGATTCGAGGTTGTGAAAACAACCCGATTAGTCGCTGCACCTGAAACCAGCGCATTTATTCTGCGGGCTTCGACAGTCTCGAAAGTGCCTTTTTGTTTTTCCCTGCCGAGAGCTTCATGAATAAGGGCCATCGAGTGACTGTTCTCCGGCACAGAAAGGCATGTATTGTTTTTATATTTTTATTATTTTTTAGCGCAAGTTAAGTGTTACCACTGAATGTGAAGATTGATCATTTGCTGGCTATACACACCCGCCTCGTATAGTAGCCGTCTCCATGGAAACTCGTGGGAGTGAGTTTCACTTGCACATCTTGACTTGTCAGCTTGAACGATCAGAAACTAGGTAGGTATCATGAAGGAACGTTACAAAATGCGGGACGCAAACAATATGGGCTCTTCTTCAGATGAATGTATCCCGTACTACTGGGTGAAGATCGTTAGGCTTCGTGTGCTTGGATGCCCTATCTGTCTTTTTTAGATTCTCTTTTTTTTTTTTTCTTTTCTTCATTAAGGGTCTCTGGACAGCCCGGCCCCACAATGATCGACGGGTTAGCCTCTGCCGAGAACCCTGAGAAAAGGAAATGTAATGGTGACTTTCGTGATCCTTTCACCTCTCAAGTGATACTCTCGGCGCTCAAGGGTAACCTGCCTTGGACTTATCAAATCCCGCCGTCGGTTTCATTGTAAGGCTGAGATAATTTGGTAATCAGGGGCCGAGAGGGAAGATCTCACGGGGGATGGAAAAGTCACCGAAGCAGTGTCCACTTCGGACGGTGGATCCCGGCACGGCCAGGAAGCCTCGGAAGGCGAGTCAGTCCACTTCATTCGAGAGAAAACGATAAATGTTCAAGGGCCCCGGTGGAGAAGCGCTGATTGTGAAATGGGATCCTGGGAGGCTGGGAAGCTTCGCCGAAGAGGGAAGGGGGGGGATAACAGGTTGTTGGCCGAAATTCCCGTGTTCAGGTGCGTGTGCGTAAACCCTCTTAGATGAGCTTTTTTGATGCGGCTTGGTTACGACGGTTCCCATGCCCTGTCTATCAACCGCGAATATTCAATGTGCCAGAAGAAGAGGCTCACCGTGTTCAACGCGCGTCACACTTGGCTTTCCCTGCAAAAAGTTGTTCCGAACGAGCTTCTTCCGAAAGATGTCGGGTAAAATTATCCAGGGTTCTGCATCAGACTGTACTCCTTTGCGCCATTCGAGCGGTGGCTGGAGGTCGAGACATCATAAGCAAAGGCGCCTAGCCAGTGTGGCTGGCCTGAATCGTTTTTGACTGCCTGCGCAGGGCTTGCTAAGCCTTTTTGGCTCTAGGCAGACAAAGATACAATGCATTGGATTACCAGACTGTGCTGTGTCGGGGTGAACCACGAAGGCGCATCTTTCTATCAAAGGAGTGGGCTGGCCTGCCGGGTTATCGTTCGTAAAGAAAAACTCTCAGAAAATGTCAAAAGGAAGGAGACGAAGGAAAGAATTGCGGCCGGGGTCGGGAATTGCCCACCGCGTATCCGTAGGCGAACCGCCGAACCGGACATGGGAAATCGTCGTCTTTGATATTGCCCATATAGACCTCAGGGTGTCGATGATGAGTAAGGCAGCCAATACGATAAACGTGAGAGAGGTGGTCATCGCGACTACAATAGCCGAGGATTCGACAGATTCAACCGTGGCATATTCCGCCACCATCCAGTGCATAGAAGGGCCCGGAAGTCGTTCCGAAAACAAAATGTACAAAGAAAGATTGGCCGAAGGTCAATGACCAAGGACACGCCCTGTGGCGGTGTTTATGTGTGTGTGTGTGTGTATGTGTGGCACAGTGATGCGGCGTTTTCGTACTTGTAGACAGTTAGGTAGATTCATTTGACGCTCGTGGGACAAGGGCTTCGAAGTATAACGTGGCGTGGTTATGTAATCCACATTCTGGAGTTTGAACAAGGAGAATTGTAACCGCGCTTACCGTTACCCTCTTCAGTGCTGGTCATGGGGATTCAGAGGATTGAATGCAACGCAGACTGCAGAGGAGAGGCGGTCCAACCGACAATCATTGCAAAAGAGAGAGGAATTGTGCGTGGGCCGTGAATATGCAAATGGAGAGGATTCCAAGAGTCAAGCGGGCTTCTCAGTCTTCATTTTCTCCGCGTCCAGGTACGTACCGATGTAGCCAATGGCGCCTGTCATTCGAAAGGTAACTGAAAAGTGCATACCGCCTCGACGCACCTGCCTTACTTTGGACATATCAACTGGAATTCGCAAAGAGTCCCTTTTAGGTAACTTGCAACTTCTACGAGGATGTCGATGTATAAGTGAAGGGCAATATTAGGAGTCAGTCCCCCCTTCACAGGGCCCAGATACTTACCTAGGTCTGACTTGCAGCAGAATCGAAACCATCCATCTGCCCGCTCGAGCGGAAGGTGTGGTGCATTTCGGCGCAGTGAGGTGCGTCTGTACATAGGTCGACAACAGCACTCCACGACATACGATACAATCGACACGGGCGAATAAGGCTTTGGCTGAAGGGTCGTCACACAAAAAGGCACATGATAAAAATGAGAGAAATTGCCTTGGCCTGGTGAACAACCGACTTATATTCGCGCAACCCCACCAGAGCCGACAAGGAACCGGAGGAGGAATGGATGGGATGGGCACGCATGCAGAAGGTCGTAGCCAGCAGGAAGAACACGCAGAAGCAGAAGCGGGCAGACCATTCCGGGGCTAGATACGGATAAAGGAGTTGGTAGGCGAGAGGGAAAGGAAAAAAAACCAATGACCACAAAAAGGTAGAGACATCCCAGGATTCGGTTTGATGCAAAGCGAGGTAGTGACTACGCAAAGACTAACACTTACAGGCTACCCGTGCTACCATGGTGGAGGCCATTGACCAGAAGAGGAGAGGAGGGAGGGGTAATCGGTATATGTTTTTATTTTATTTTTAATGTCTATGTTTTTGTCCCCTTTCGTCCAAGTACTATCCTTTGACCTGTGTTTTCCTTACACAACTCAACCTTTTCTGACTTACACCGAGGTCATGATCCAATGATGGGCTTGCCTTTCCCACCAATCTTTGTGCCATGTCGGGTCCCGTCGGTGCGTCTTGCTTCCTGCTTCCTGCCTGTCACGCCTGTGCCATGCTATTGCTACCTTGCCTTGACTAAGGTACGTAGTGTACTAGGTAAGGTATGTATGTAATAATCAGTGCCTTGCTTGTCTACCCTGCCCTGCCGGGTCGGAGCGATGGGCAATTTCTGCCGTTGCTGGCCACTTTAAGCCTACCCATGTCGTCGGAAGCCTTGAGTATCCGCGTTTCCTGACTGGTCCAGGCTTTGTGAGGTACCATGCCTTAGTCCCCTCCAGCGGCCTCATGGCCTCAGGTAGGAAATATTTCGGCCACCGCCCGCCCCGTCAAAGACAAGACTGGAGTCAGTGGACGCCCCAACCCACGTCAGTCGGTGGTGACCCCTCCATCCTCGGCCTCCTGCGCGCTCTCCCACTTCTACCTACCTAAAGGCACCTCATGGATGGATACCTTAGGTCGGCTTGCTCCCGTCCCATCCTTTGACTCCTATTGCTCACAGCAGATGGCCTGAGACATGGACGTATTGGATGCTCTGGGTGAATGAGACTTCCAAATTACCTACCTACCTACCTACCTACCTCTTCGTCTTCCTATACGCTAGGTGTCTTGTAAAGTCTGATGAATGGTCGGGCGTGTCTTCTATTAGATGAGGTGGTGCATGCCCTGCTTCACCGACAATGTCCTGCATCTACCTTACCTTAACCTGCCTGACACCGGGCAGAGTGTTGTAAGCCTTGGCCTGTAAGGTAAATGCCCTGAGATGAATCACCAAGGTATCCGTACATGCCCTGGAAACCCGTGGATGAAGCACCCTCCCGCATCTCAGTGAATTGTCAGTGCCTTGGGGTCCCTTCCCTCAACCCCAAACCTCCAGGTCCCAGTCAGTCGCCAAAGAATTCCAATCACCCGCTGTGCCAGCGTCCCTTACCCCCCTCCCCGCTAAAAAGTCAGGTCAACCAAGCTGCCTCCACCTTTTACCTCAAGTGCCAACCTGGTAGTGGCTTTCCCGAGAAGAAAAAAATTCATTCACAAAAAAAAACTCGGGCCTCAGATTTTATTCCTGGGTCTTTTTCTCCTCCTCTCCCACAACCACACATATCTCTCTTTCTCTATCCCTCTCCTCCACAAACCTTGCCCTACCGGTATCCTTGTGGTCATTCTTCCTCTGTTCACTCGTCCTGCTCGGCCGATACCTTTCTGTTCGCCAATTTTACAATAGCGGACATTTCGTACACGACCAGCGAGACCCCTCAGGCCAACAACCAAGCCCTCCTCCAATCGAAGCCTTGCGTTTACCGTCTTCCACGTTTTCTTTGGATCGCCGCAGCCCGAGCATCTCCGGAACGTCTCGCCTCGCTTGTCTCTCGCAACCCAAAAAAAAAACACACACTTCGTTGACGTGCTCTCAACCCACCTCCCCCCTCTTCGTTTACGAGGAACACAGCTTCCACCGCACCTCATACCACCTTGCTCGCGCACTCGATCCTACTGATTCGTCAGTCCTCGCGTGCCTTCGTCCTAAGCTCGTTTCCGCACTCGCCCGAAAAAAAACTCTAGCCACCTTCCGGCTTCACTGGACCAGCAGGACCTGCTCGTCCCGACATCCTTGCGTTTTCCTCAATCTTTGACGGCTTCCGACGACGTCAACCGGCACCTGATTCCTTTCACGGCACCTCAGGCCGCCGATCGACTCATTCTTCCGGACCACGCGGAGAGGTTTGGTTCGCCCTCTCCGGTCTGTCTCCGTCTCAGGAGTTGCTGGTAAACCTCGGTTTACCCAACAGCAGGATACCCAACAGCCCGTTCGCGGCTACTACCTCAGGGCCTGGCAGGATTAGATCGGTTGATCATCTTCCCTGGTCCCTTATACCCCAATAGTCTTTCGAGGCATGCCTATTTCTGCATCAGACCTAGCATCAGACACGATGGCTACTGCATTTTCTTACGCTCAAGCCGCCAAGGGTCAGGCGGCCACAACACCCGCGGCCCAGACCACCGAGAACGGCAAGGACTCCGCGAGCTCAGTAAACGGCGAACAATCGGGTGCCGAGCCCACCGCTGTCAAGAGCACCGACTCCGCTGACGACGAGTCCTCGAGAAATACCCCTCTCAAGACCCAACTGGCTGCCAAGCAGGAAGTCTCCTCTGCCCAAGCAGAGGCCAACAGCACAAACACACCATCTGCCGCCGCTTCCGTCACCGACTCGCGACGCGATGACGAGGAGGCCGTTACCGAAGCCTCTGCCCGCCGAAGTGAGAAGAGCGTGAGGTCGGCAAGCGCATCTACTCGCGTGACCGACGAGGCCGAGCCGAAGAAGGGCTCTAGGAAGCCGAGAAAGGGCAAGGCCGGAAAGGAGTCAAGTGAGGACGCGAAGAAGGACAAGGCCGCAGAGCAGGAGAAAGAAGAGCCCAAGATTGAGCTCGTTGAGGCGCCGCTTCCTTCGGTCAACATCTGGACCCAGCGCAAGGAGACAGCGGCTCACAAGACCTCTGTCACCTTGCCCACCGCTAATGGTGCTGCCAGCGCATCTACCCCAGTTGACACCTGGCCCAACAGCCAGGAGTCCAAGAAGAAGAACAAGGCCGCTGACGGCGCTGAAGCCACCAACGGCACTGCTGCCGGCAAGTCTCAACGCAAGGCTGGCGATGGTGATGCCGCCGCCAGAAGAAATGGTGCTCGCGGTTCAAGGGTTATCGAGAGAGATAGCCGACTGACCGAGGTCCCTCCCCCCGTTGGCGACGTTCACTCATGGCCTACGCCTGAGACGGCGGTCAAGGAGATCGTCAAGGAGGAGAAGCGCAAGCCTTCTGAGAAGGTTGAGCGGGTAGAGGCCGAGGTTCAGGATGATGCCGGTGCCAAGGGCCGTTCAAAGGACAAGTGGGAGCGTATGGACTTTGTCCCTACTGTCCAGTTCTCCACCCCCATTCCCTCAGTTAGAGGCTCTCGAGGAGGACGAGGTGGTGCTCGTGGTGGACGCGACATTACTTCTCGTGGCGGTCACGGGGCTGCTGCTGCTGCCTCTGCTGACAAGCCGGCCGGCACTGCTGCCCCTACTAAGGCTGGAAACGAAGCTCGTGACCGTGCTCGCGATGGTAACGCTCCGGCTAGAGCCAACTCTCAACCCCCTGCTGCGAACAAGCGGGCCTCGATGGAAGTCTCCAACGGCAAGGAGCAGCGCAAGCCCACGGCGCCCAGCTCCGGCGAGCGCAACAAGGAGTCGCAGTCAAATGCCGCCAGTGTAAGTTGATTTCTGTCTGGGTTGTCCTGCGATACTTTCAAAAACATGTATGCTGACCGATGGAAAGGAGCAGGCCGGTCCTGTTAGAGAGAGAGGCGAAGGCCGCGGCGATAGAGGCCGCGGCGGATACCGAGGCCGCGGAGGTCACCCTGGAAACGTGCCCATGCACGCTCAGCAGTCTTCATACATGTCTAACGGCAACTCCTTCGGCTCTCAAGGTCCCAGACAGTACGCCAGCCCTCCTCTTCACCAGGGCGGCAGCTTCCAATCCTCCTACGGAGGCTCGCAGTCCCGCGGTGGTCGTGGTGGCCGCGGTCAGTCCAACGGCTCTGGAGCGTTCCGCGGTGCTGGTGGCCCTTCGAACTCTGGCCGTATGCGTCAAGTTCAGACCAACATGAACCAGGTCTCCTGGGATTACGGAGTCCCCATGACCCCGGGTTCTTATGCCGCATTCTACGAGCAAACGAGACATATCATGATCCCTCAGATGGAGTACTACTTCTCCGTGGAGAACCTCCTGAAGGATACCTACTTGCGCAAGAACATGGACAGCCAGGGTTTCGTACCCTTGGAGCTTGTCCTCGGCTTCCAAAGGGTTCGTTCGGTGGCCGATGCCCAGACTCTGCGCGCAATTATTGCCGAGTGTCCCCAGCTGGATTACGTTGTCGGTGACGATGGCATTGAGAGATTGAGATCTCGTACCCACTGGCAAAAGTTCGTCTACCCTAACATGGAGCTGCGCTTCGATGCTGCCCGCAATGAGGGACCTCAGTACTTCTACCCCCGTTCCCTTCACGCCATCGCTCATTACGACCACGGCATGCTCGGCGACTACCCTGTCATTTCGCCGACTGCTGCCTACCCCAACGGTGCCGAAAACAGCTACGTCGCCTACCCTACTGAGGCTCAGGGTGGACAGCCGAACGGCACTGTGAACGGCAACGCTGCCGAGACGCAGCTTTCTGCTCAAGTCCCCGAGTTCCAGCCCGGCCCTGCATCCGAGCAAATGGCCGAGGCCTCATCCGAGACGGAGAAGGCTCAGGCCCTCGTCAATGGCTCTGCCCACACAGAGAGCGCACCCTTGACAAACGGAAATCACGCTCAGCCTGCTGAAGCCCTCCAGTCCTAGTTGGACGAAGGCATTGTCGTGGGCTGTGGCAGCGAGGCGGCAGCATCAGGATGCGGTGACGACAGCAGCAGCTTGTCGAGTCCTTCTCAACGCGCACATCTGCTGATGCGGTTTCGAGGCGAGAACTCGGTTGCAGAGTCCCCCATCGACGACATCCCGTACCCTGAATTTCGTCTGCGCGCGCTCTCCCAACGGCAAGATGCTTTAGCCGGGGATATTCCCGGCGACATGAAATCCCTTTATCGGTTCTGGTCTCATTTCTTGGCCCGGCATTTTGATTTGGAGATGTTTGAGGAGTTTCGGGCATATGCAGTGGCGGACGCCACGGGGGGGACCATCAACGCAACTGGCCTCAAAAACTTGATTGCATTCTATGAAGCGGTCTTACAAGAGGACAAAGAATACCCTCTGGACAATCTGGAGTCTCTCTATGGGGAAGCGAAAAGGCTAGCCGCGACAGCCGAGAGCTCCCTTGAGAGGTAGCATCTGGGTCGGTTACCATGACGAGGATGTTTTACGAATTGGGCAACTCTTGTTGGAATTTTTTCGACAACAAGCTGTGATAGACCCATCTAGGTTGCGGTCGCTCGGATTTCCGTCTTGGCCAATGTCACCGAGCGCATCTTCCCAGTATCGTTGAATCTGCAACGTTTCTTGGGGCTTAGTCGGGACGAGACCGTAGCTATTGTCGTCTTCGAAGGGTTGGAAAAGTTATCTGCTTCTTTTTCACAAAAGGGGATGGGCCGCAGCAGAGAGATATGCTACCAGGTGGCTAGCAACATACCCATGGGAGGTTTGATTCGGAATTAATTGGGACGGGGGGAATAATCAGAGGCAACAAAATTGAGGCAAAGAGGAAGGCTTCGCCCCTCTTGCGTTGGCATGTGAAAGCTTCGTCTTAAAGGCAGCTTCAGACACGGGTTGATGAAAGTCTCTTCTCCGGCGTAACTCGGCATACAGGTCCGAGATGACAATCATCGGTCTTACTTTCATTTGGCGGTTTTTCCTCATCATGGATGGATTTTCAGCTTCCTTCTTCTCTCCCCTCGCCTCATCGCTAGACGAAGAAAAAAGTTTTCTTCTTTTTTTTAACTCTTTTTTTTTTATTTTTTTTTACTGCACATAGTTCCTGCATGCTTTATTCTGGGAAAACACAAACAGGGAAACAGGGGAAGGGTTATGGGCATGAAATGCATTCGAGCGGTCACAAGAAATTGGAGGCAATGGTCCATGGTTCTACTAGACTTTTCCTCTTTCTTCTTTTTCCTTCCTTCCTTCGCTTGTCAACATACACGGGGATTGGGGGGAGGAAAAGAAAGAGACGGCATCATCACGCAAAATCAGTCGAGCTGATGCTGTATTGTATGAATAGGACCTCTTAAAAATGAATAAATCGGAGTATATGGCGTTCATATTGCGTAAATTCCATGTCGCATTGATGTGGGTGAGGTCATCGCGGAAGAGGCGCTGTCTTCTTCCTCTCTGGGAAGCTGTAGAGCAGCATGCTGAGCTTCACTTGGAAAGTATCGAGAGAAACAAACGTTGCCATTTGATGCGTGCACTCGAACCGTGACTACACACTCGCTGCAAGTCAAATCTGGATATGTTTGGGTAAACGGGACGGGTGGAGGAGAAGCGACATGTTGCTCCTGCGTCGTTGGCAACTATATATCCAACCTCGGTTCCTCGAACTATCACATACGACCATACCCATTGGAAAACTCGGGATCCCGTCCGCTCTCCCATAGATAAGCCAATGAGGGCCGGATTAGTAGTTGGGTCGGTGACGACCAGCGAATACCTGGTGTTGTATGTAATTTCTTTTGAAGTTTTGCAGACTTTTGCATGGTGGTGGAGAGACATCGTGAAGACTGACGATATTATAGACGTGGTTGCGGGCGACGGCGTCTGAATGGAGTGTAAGAAAGTTCCAGCCGTGAGATATCGTGCGGGGTAGACAAGTTGCCTCTCAACTTCTCAAGGCATTCAATTGTTTTTTCTTCACAGTTAATCTCTCTTACTTTGTTTTTGGGGGGGGGGGCGGGGGGGGGCCTCCTATAAGGGTTCGAAATTCCTGGTGCGTGACCCTTTTCTAGGACTCGCACCGCAGGAATCAAGTGTCGACAACAACTTATGTCTGCCCCTTATTCCTCCAGTAGTTTCTACCGAAATGTAAAGTGTACTTCCCAATAAGGATTATTACAGCCGTGCGAGTTCGTCGTTCCCCAGTCCTGGTTCGGCGCTTGATCAAGGGAGACTGTCACGTAAAATATGGGAAGAGGACCACCGGGGGAACTCCCTCTACAGCCAGCATATGAGCTGAGTGGTATTGAATTATACACTTGAAGTTCTTACCATTTAACAGCCAGTGTTGGCTTCCTTCAGGTAGACACGAGTGACCAGATCCTCTCCCAAACGGTAAAGGCGAGGCGTTTGCACGCGAGGAAAAGACCCCCCCTAATTACCGAACGACTCTGTGAAGAACGCCTTACATGTCGTCGGTGTGTCCGAGAAGCTGATCAAAACGCCATCGGATAGAATGATTTGGGCAATGTATAGCAAAGCATCCTTGTTCATCTGTCACGGATACGTTCGTGCCTGGCACTTCTCCCTGATGAGAGTTGGATGCCAAAACCATTATTCTCGTCATACGTCACTGCCGATGATTGTTGATGCTCGAGTACCTACCTAGTCGCGGGCCGGTTCCTCTTCCCTTCTAGATAGCTACTTCACGTGCGTAAGGAAATCCAGCAAATGATCGCTAACAAGACGGTAATATTTCTATCTTTGAGGATGCCTCTAAATAGGTTGTGAGACGCAGGGCATTTTCCAGCCTTTCCGCAGCTCCTTTGCGCTTTTACAAAACGGCAGACACTGTTTGTAGAGCCTATATTCTCGCAAATTAATGATACTTATACCAATCCCTTAAGGAAGGACGTGGTGATCTCACAGCGCCCATTCGAGAGAAATGGACTTAGTTTATATAACTTCCGATGGAACCCTGCTGCCTGGTCCACCGAGATAGCTTCACGCTCAAGCTAGGTTCATTACCTGCTCTTGTGTATCATAAAGCCGTAAGCCAATAGATCATCCAGCCGTATAGAAACAACAGGGCCTGAGTCAATGAGTTCATATCAAGACATGTAGAAAGTGCCTTGGGTGCTGTGATTCATGAGAGACCGGGCTTCTACCTGTCATACCCGACTTGCAGTTTCAACCAAAACACCATTAAGACTATACGAAAATATGATGGGAAAGTCATGCCATATTACTCATTATTACATAAACCGTCCTAGTCTCAAGTCTCACCATCTGCCGATTTGACAGAAGTAGGGACACAAGAAGAGAAGGTGATTAGACCGAAAAAGTCAGTATCTACAAGTTCTTCATGCCGTCTGCCTCATTATTTCGACCTTTTATTTCGTTTCACTCAAGATACATCCCTCATCATCGCCTCATCCCGCTTAGAAGGCCATAACGAGACCGACAGCAACAGCGGCAACAGCAGCGAGGCTGTGGGCCATGGCGGTCGGGGCAGCGTTGGGGGCCTCGGTGGAGGAGGGTGCAGCAGAGCCAGTAGCAGAGCCGGAGGCGTCAGTGGCGGAGGCGCCGCTGGACTCAGAGGCGCCGCTCTCAGTTGCGGAGGCGGACTCGGAGGCACCGGTGGTACTGGCGCGCAGTGTTAGGATATATGCGAGTGATGGAAGGATATAGGAAAACTTACCCAGCAGTTCCAGTGGCGGACTCGGATGCGGTGTTCAGGACAGTGGAGGTGAAGGCACTGCCAGCAGAATCGGTGCCGGTGACGACGCTGGGGGAGAGCGTAGGCACGACATCGGTGGTGATTGTGGTGGGGATGGGCGTGATGGTGGTGGAGATCTCGGTGGTGATGGTGCTGCCGTCCGAGTTGGTGGTGGTGACGGCTATGACGGTGGGCACGGGGGTGCCGGCCGGGGCAGCAGTTGGGCGGAGGCTCTCAATGGCGGACTCGAGAGCGCCGTACTGGCTGGTGTACTGCGTCGGGATGGCCGCGGAGAACCAGTCCGGGGTGCTGGTGGCCTTGAGGACGGAGTAGATGTAGGACTTGAGATCCCCGGTGACGCTGGCGGCGCTAGCGGCTGAGCCGAAGGCCGAGGTTAGGGAGTCCCACTGGTCGGTGGGAATGTAGGCCGAGATGAGAGCATCGGCGGCGGCAGTGAAAGCCGGAGCGTCAGAGCTATGAGGGCTGTGTTAGTATGTGTCTGGCTAGCTCCGAAGCTCCCCTTGAGCTATCTTTTAGATCCCGAGCGGGTGAGGCTGTGTGTCTTACACTTGGCGCGCGTCGATGGGGTTGGCAACGGCGAACTTGGCGGCAACGGCCAGAGGAATGATGGCAGACTTCATATTGTTTGTTGGTTGAGGGGGTATCTTTGCTCAAATCCGAGGGGTGGGTATCACAGGTCTGTTGAGGACGAGGCGGAAGAAGTTCTTGCGAGGGGGGGGGGGGTATCACTGGCTGGCTGAAGCAAACAAAGGCGGATGGAAGGGAAAGAGAGTGAACTACGGGACACAGCTTCGGAGGGTGGAGGAATGATTTAAATAACAGACGAGAAATCGTGGTGATGCAGTCAAGAAACAAATGACGCCGTACGCGGTGAAGCTGGCGCGGGTACGACCACGGAGCAGGCCAGAACGAATGGGGAACCCGTGGCGACAGCGATGGTGGAAGCGAAAGCTAGGAATTGCGCGTTTGTTGCCCATTGTGAGGGGCGAGAAACAGGCGGGCCAAAAATCTTGGTGTTGGTCTTTTTTTTTCACGCACCCTGGTCTGTATTCCTTGGAAAGCGGAGGTTGGGTAGAGATGCTCGATGCTTCGAGGCCCTTGCAGCCGCAGTAGTAGCAGGCCAGAAGCAGCTCTGAGCTGGGCAACCGGGAAAGCGGGCAAGGCGCGAACAGGGAACAAACAGACGAAGCTGTAAACGGAGGAAGACCTGACGAGAAGCAGGAAAAAGCAGGGCAGA